CAGCTTATGAGAGTACGTACTGTGTGAGAGCTGTCCTATTCCCACTTACTGGTTCTTCCTGCCTCTACTACCTAGGAGACAGAAACTTTTTTTTTTTTTTTAGATTTTGTTTGTTTATTTGACAGAGAGAGAGAGAGAGAGAGAACAGCAGAGGGAGAGGGAGAAGCAGACTCCCCACTGAGCAGGGAGCCCAGTGTGGGACTCGATCCCAGAACCCTGGGATCATGACCTGAGCCGAAGGCCGACACTTAACTGACTGAGCCACCCAGGCGCCCTGGATACCCAGTTCTTGAGCCTGGCTCAGAGTGTTCTTGTGATCCTCTGAAGGCAGCAGTGCATAGCAAGGCAGATGAGCAATGCAGATGCTCTGTCATCCACTTACAGGTGGCGATACGAGGTAGGAGGTAGCTGGGTGAAGGTGAGCATGCACTGGGGTGGGCTGGAGTCCTGGACACTGCCTTTGCACAAAGAAGGAGGAAGACTGGTGCACACTGACAGAAACACTGTAAATCCAAAGCCATGGGTGCCATGAAGCTCTTTATTTATATCTAAAAATATCATTCTAGATCTAAGTTTTCCGGAACTTTGAGATATGTTCAATGAAAAAAGGTCTCACTCTTAGTCCAGTTTTCTGAGTTCCTCCCTTAAAGGGTGCTTAGGATCCTGGGCATGCCCAATGCCCTTCTTTGCACACTTCAGGTGCACCAACTGAGCCAGAGAAGAGAAATATAATCATGCCCAGGCTGGGTACCACTCACATACAGAATTCTGGGTGAATTCTTTGGTCATCTTGAGATAGAGTGTAGGACAATGACAAGGCCCCTAGGCATCACAAAGACACAGAAGGACTGCTCCCCTCAGAATTCAGGATCCTGGGGCTTTCCAGATAATGTTAAAGAGGAGAAAGTTTTGGACTTAAGAGTCAGGAATACTGGTACCTTGTTTCATGTCTGCCCCTTTTGGACTTAAAGTCAGGAATAGTGGTACCTTGTTTCATGTCTGCCCCTTTTACCAGGAATACTGGTACCTTGTTTCATGTCCACCCCACATTCCAAGGGCTCAGACAGGTGTGTCACCTCTGTCTCAATTTTCTTATAAGAACACCCGGGACAATAATCTCCAACTCGCAGGAATAGTGTTGACACCACCTGGTCAGGGAACTCATCCAAACAAGCCACAGATTAAAGCTCCTGCCTCCAGACTCTTACCCACACTTACCTCTCAAGGTGTTGAGTTGAGTATGTGCAGTAACTGGCTGACAGCTCTTTTATGTGGCCTCTTCTTCCTTGGGGAGGGGGAGAGGAGGTTGTGGCCTGGGACCAGGGCCAGAGGAGCAGAAAAACAACATTCAAAGGCCTAGAACCTAATGGTGATTTGGGCTGTGCCAGATCTGTAAGTTCTGCCTGGGAACTACATGTTGGCCATATCACAGACTCTTTCCTTTGATACTCTCCCATTCCAAAGTATTGGATTTTCCTTGATATGAGCAGTACGTCCTCCTAAGTTAGGAGGAGCACTGTGTACCTTATCGCAGTTCCAGCCACCCAAACAGACCCAAGTCTTGAGTCTATCTGACGCCTTTGAGTCTGTCCATAGGTACACTGAAGGGTCGTTTGTGTGTCTATTTGCCTTGGACTTGCTCTGTGCTAATAAGGTCCCACTCAACACCTTCTCTGTATTGATTCTCTTCTGCTAATTAAAGCATAACACCATCTCCCATCAAATGCCCTGGGGGTTTTATGTGGATAAAAAGAGACTGAATAGGAAGGACTTCAAGAAAGACAGAGGACCACCTAGCACATGACGGAAGTGAAGTGATCGAATCTAGCAACAACATCTTGGCACAAGTTTGTGAGTTGAGGGCTGGGGGGATTTGCCCACCCAATATCAGAGAGGAGCTACCATACCCATGTTTTGGAGCTTATTAGGAAAAAAGAAGAGTCAAGTGGGCAAGGGCAAGGGCTCCCAAGGAACAGACCTCCTTCTTCCAAACTCTATGTCCAGGAATATTTCATACACTGACTGGAGACGTCCATGTACGGTGATTTTTTCCCCCAGGATACGTAGGATGCACTGAGCAGTGGGAAATGTATGTCAGGATTCTGGAGACTTGGCTCAGGAGAGTGGACTGTATAGAGACAAAATGTAGAATTCGGGGACCTGGGTACAAAGGTGTGGGAGCAAGCGGAAGGGAAATTTGATGGGAGCTGCAAATGGTGCCACACCTAAAATGACTGAATTGTGGATTCCCAAGTCCTCACTTTCTATGGCTGGAAAATGATGTTCCGGGCAGGGCAATCACAGCCCTGCCCTGCGTCTGGCTCAGAGGTTGGGGTTCCCTAGTGGGCTGTTTGAGGAGCACAGTCACTGAGAATGCCAAGGAGGTCCCTCCCAGGATTCCTGCTGTACTTGGTTCTGGGTCATTCAGATGGGTCTGCAACAAAGCTGTGTTGAATTTATGAAAACAGCAGGCCTTTGCTCTTGCTTTCGCTCTCTGTATATTTTATACAAACAGACACACACATATACATATATATACACATACACATATACACACATACATATATATACATAATATACATACCTATACACACCTATATATGTATATACACACATACATGTATAGATACACAATATATACACACATACACACACATATATATATACAGAAAGGCGTATATATGCATTAGATATGTATATATAAATGTCCATATATGGATATGGATTTATGTATACATATACACAAATTATTATGTATATGTACATATTATATATGATTATATGTATACATATACACATATATTACACATATATAAGTACCTGCACCTGTATTTTTGACCTGTAATGTGCCTATGTGTTCTTCTAAAACTGTGAGTTTGTATTGTTGGTGTCTGCTCTCATAGTCCCCATTCCTGAGCTCTCCAGTGTTCCTAGTGATTGCTTACTCCACAGGTAATTGCATTTTTTAAAAAGATTTATCTATTTCTCTGAGAGATGACAGACCAAGCAGGGGGAGGGCCAGAGGCAGAGGGAGAGAATCCCAAGACTCCCTGATGAGCATGAGCCTGAGGTGGGCCCTCTCTCAGGACCCCGAGATCATGATGTGAGCCGAAAGCAAGAGTCCACGGAGTCAAGTGGGAAGAACTCCAGCAGGCAGGCAGGTGGGCCTTGCTGGAGGCAGGTGTGCAGTGTCACACTCCAGTCCAGTGCTTCCTGCTGGGCATCAGGGAAGGATTGCCCAGAGCAGAATACCTGCCTCTCTCAAGCTAGAGCCTCTGGCCCACCTGAAAAGCACCTCAGGACTCCTGGTATTAGAGGACCTTATCCACCTCTCTGGGACCTTCCCTTGGATCAGGAGACCTTAGGAAAGAGATTATGATCAAGCAGCAGCACAGACATCATCAGACACAGGTGGGCGGTGAGAGCATGCTCTGCAGGAGCTCTGACTTGGTGCTTCCTCACATAGCCTGACTCTACTAGCATCTTCCCATTGCTTGGCCATGCCCCAAACACCCTGGGAGAGACTATTAAGAGACAAAAGGTTACCTGCCAGGGCCCACATAAGGAGTGACCTCCCATGTCTACAACCAGTGCTCCCTACCATGTGGGTACACCATGCTGCCGGCTGACCTATTCTTTGCCACTGGCATGAGCACCTCGGACCATGAATTCTACTGGAAGCAGCTGGTCTTCTCCATTGCAATAATGTCGTGTCCTGGCCTGTGTTCCACAGAGCTCCCTGGACACTCACTCTACCCTGCCTCCGTGGACTCAGAGGCTACACCTAGAATGCTTTGACTGGAGGAGTGCTTGCCTGGCTAGCACTCCATGTTCTGTCCTATGGAACAGCTGTGTGCCCCTCTGGTAGGTCGAGCGGAGGAGTGGGGACCCCTGCAAGGCCTTGACTCTCATGGAGGCAGAGGAGGGAGCAAAAGTAAATTATGCCATGACCTGGGTGTCCAAAAAGCCAAGTCCCAACCTGCAGAGAATGGTTGATCAGGCTGGTCTCTCTGTGACAAACACATGGCCTCATGGTTGTCATGGCTTCTGCAATAATTGTTCTCTTCTCATGCTCCAGCCATGCTCCTTCTTTATGTTAGTGCAGTTGGGAGGACTCTAGAAGTATCTTCTGCATCTCATACACCATGATGATGATCAATTCCTGCCTCATTTCCATCCTTTGGCTGCCCCCCATGCTCACAAGTGGGTCTATACTGATGTGTGCACCCACAAATGTGTCCCACTGCTGCCTCTGGTAGTAGTTTGTGTCATAACAAACCCAGGGTGCTTAATTAAGGAACTATAGGAACTTATCTGGAATGCAAGTGTTGGGTTTAGGTGCTGAGCAAACCAGAGTTCCAGACAAACATCCTCCTCTAGTCATATCATGACCCTTCATTCTCTTTTGCCTTGAGCATGTCCCTTAACTTCCCTCGGATTGGTTTTCTTCATTGAAAAGGGACAGTAATCTGAAACTCACAAGGAGAATGGTGGGGGGATGTGGTGGGGGTGAGTTAAGTTTAAGAAGAGGCCTTCCTGGGGGCCTCCTACACTGTGGCCAGGGTCTAGTCTCCACCTGCCTCATGTTTAACTTGGCTCTTATGACTCCAGGCTGAGGAATGTTCTGGTTAACATTGGAAGATACCACACATGAGCAGTTTCTCCCCTGGGAGTACTGGTTCAGTGAACAGATCAACAATGAGGCTGGGCCTTGGGGACCTGGCAGGGGTGCTGGGGCCAACAGGAGAGAGAATAGAGAAGAATGACAAGGGAGAGGGATCAGAGACCTAGACCCAGAGAAGGGGCACTCAGGGTCTGCACTAGGTACTCAATGATCACAAGCACTGGGACTAAAATAGGCAGGTCTGTGGACATTTGTTCTGGTTTATTTGACAGGAACAAACAGTTCAAGCTGGTGGAAGGGTGCATTCCTGTTCATATCCTCTTGCCTGGGTTCTGAGGTCCTCATGCCTTGGTGTGACTAGAACAGCTCAGCCCCCTCATCTGTTCAGCAGGCTCATGCAAATATTCCCGCAGAAGGTTGAACAGCATATGTTATTTGCTTGACAATCTTGGTAATATTCACATGGGCGTCTGCACATGTATATGTTGGTATGCTTTTCACAGACCTTGATTTCTTTGATCAGCTCCATTTCTGAAAAAGAACAGGAACAGGGTCAGTGCAACCAGATCGTTGCCTCTCCCAAAGACCCCAGAACTCAGGTCCCACACATGACACTCTTGGACTTTTCAGGGAACTCACTTTCTGCCCTTCACTCAATCCTGGTGATTGGTAGTGCCTTAAATCCTGTATCCCCCCATTTTCCCCCAACAGATCTCAATACTTGGCCTTCCTGGACCCTCTGCGTACTCTGCAGCCAGGACCCTGTCTCCCATGTTACTCATGGCCTTGGTGATGCCCCCCATAGAATCAACACTCTGAGAACTCAGCAGAGACTGAGACATCCTGCAGATCCTCCCCACTCTCCAGAATTTGCAGGGCCCAGAGAGGAAGATGACTTCCCACCTTGCCCCCTCTTTCCTGTCACAGTCACTTTCTCCAGGGCCCTTGCCTCTTCCCAGAAAATACCACTTGCAGTATTTCCCTTCCACTGCCACCAACCTGGTCCCTCTGATGATAACTTTGACTTGACCCTGTACACCCCAAAACTTGCTTTCCCATGGTCCTTTCATTCTACACCTACTCCCACCAACATTTCTGGATGTAACGTGTCACGTGTGTGCAGAAATCTAAGAATAGTTGTTTGGTTTCCCCATGTGAGTCTCAGCCCGTGTTGTACCTTTCACTACTCTATGTACCGTTTGTGTCTGGGTATTTGGAATGGAGAATCAAAAGACGTAGTTTCCCCCACCACCCCCATCACTATTCCCAGGGCTGGGTAAAGGGGTCAGAGGGCCATGGTTTGGGAGGACCCAGAGTCTTCATAGTGCTGTGGTCTGAGCAGGATGTGCTGAAAGGTTCCAATTCCCAGGTCCTCCTCAGAAAGGACACAGCCCTTCCTGGCCCCCTTCCCCTCCCTCTCCCCTAGTCCATCACCTACTCTGCATCGTCTTCGGTTTCCGGTACCCTCCCTGGGCCTGCAGCAGCACACAGAGGAGCAGGATGAGCAGCAGAGCCTGGCTTGGCATGACTCTGGGCAGAGTGGAGAGCGCTCAGTCTGGCACAGACTTCCCTGGAGAGCTGAGTGGTTATCCTGGGCTCCTCCCTGCTTCCACTGGCCAAACAAGGAGCCCTGTTTTCTCTCCTTTGCCTGCCCTTACTACCACCTGTTTTCTGTGGGACTTGGGCTTCTGCAGAGGATTCCTGCTCTCACACGACTAATCCCCTCTTTTGCAAACATTTTTTTCCTACTTTTTAATTTTAAGATAATTTACAGAAAAAGAAAAAAGTATAATTTTTTTAAAAATATGGTAATCTAAGTGTAGAGAGTTAACATGTGTCTTTTTATTACCATTCTATTTTTTTCTTTGCAAATTTAATATAAGCAATTTATTGTTTTCTCACATTTGGAATCACCCACCTATTGTTACCCATCTTGTTTCACCCTCATTTAACGAGGTAAATATTTCACAATGTGGTTTTACATAATCACAAACGTCTCACTTAAAATAACTGGGTATTAATGGAATATTATGCAGCCATCAAAAGGAATGAGATCTTGCCATTTGCAACAACGTGGATAGAACTGGAGGGTGTTATGCTGAGTGAAATAAGTCAATCAGAGAAAGACATGTATCATATGACCTCACTGATATGAGGAATTCTTAATCTCAGGAAACAAACTGAGTGTTGCTGGAGTGGTGAGGGGTGGGAGGGAGGGGGTGACTGGGTGATAGACATTGGGGAGGGTATGTGCTATGGTGAGCGCTGTGAATTGTGCAAGACTGTTGAATCACAGATCTGTTCCTCTGAAACAAATAATGCAACATATGTTAAGAAAAAAGAAAAAGAAGAAGATAGCAGGAGGGGAAGAATGAAGGGGAGTAAATCAGAGGGGGAGACGAACCATGAGAGACGATGGACTCTGAAAAACAAACTGAGGGTTCTAGAGGGGAGGGGGGTGGGGGGATGGGTTAGCCTGGTGATGGGTATTAAAGAGGGCACATTCTGCATGGAGCACTGGGTGTTATGAACAAACAATGAATCATGGAACACTACACCAAAACAAATGATGTGATATATGGTGATTAACATAACAATAAAAAATTAAAAAAAAATAAAGTTTAAAAAAAGAAAAAAAAATAGATCCAGAATCTGACCACTTGCTACCACATCTTCGGCTGCCACCCCAATCTGGGGAGCCGTCTTCTCACCTGGGGTTTCAAAGAACAAGCCTAACTCTCTCTTACATCACATGAGATGCTGAGGCATTCCATTCCTCCACAGCCTACCAGAGGTAGTCACAGTAGAGTGAACCAAGTCACAGAAAGAGATACTAGTTTTGAAGGGAGGGGAAAGGTGTTTGAAGGGTGTGAGACGGGGTGGAGTTTGAGGGAACTCACACCTACTCTTGTTTTAGTCAAGAATGGGCAGTGCCCACTTTTCTCTTTCAAGGACTGTATGGTGTGTCCAGCTTCATGTAAGTGACTCCGATTGCCCCAAACATGACGATGTTGTGAATCCATGTGTGGCTTTGTTTGTGCCAAGGCCTGGACAGGTGAGGAGTGTGGATGTTCCTCCCAAAGTCTCCAGGGCATATGTTAAGGATGCCATGTTGTCCCATCAAATAGGGATATCCCTTTGGTTGACCTTAGATATCTCTTAGGAATTTGTCCTTTTTTAATGCCCAATCACTGCTCTCGTGTTGTCCTCTTGATTTCAGGAAACTATTGTGCTAAGTCTTCAAAGCCAACCATCCACATTATCCCTCCCTATTTTTTCCCCATGAGACCTTATTTATTCTGAGTCTCATTCTTCACTGACTGACAGGTGACAGTATCCACTTACTCATACAAAAAAAAAAAAAAGATGATAACCATTAGGTACATTCCTAATAAGCCCTTATGTCTACACAGAACTTCACAACATATAGAGCATATTCACATCCTGTAAGGTGTGCTGGGGAAAAAATGGGTAGCAAAATGCTGGTCAGCAGAAGTGATCTTGGTAGACTCTGAGGCCAGTGCTCATTTCCTCATGTAGTGCTGAGATAGTATGGTCTTGTCCCAGGAATTGTTAGTGTTTTAAGATACAGCACGGTATGGGGGAAGGAACCCAAGGCATTTCAACTGATTTCAACTCTCCTACTTATGTTCTGTATGGCTGTAGACACCTCACTTGCCCCTACATGATCCTCAATTTCTACAACTCATAAAACAAGGAAGTTCTGGGTGCTCTCTAATAGTCCTTCTACCTCTGGCACTCTGGAATTAGATAACCCAAATCCCTAAGTTCTGTGGGGGCCAGCAGGGATCCTATCAGATTGTCTATGTCAGAGATGGCAAGCCTTTTTTTGATACACCTCAAATTATTAGCCACTGAAAGTTGATACTCTGCCTTCTGCCCTCTATTGTTACTCTTGGGGGGAAGAGTAAGAGGCTTAGTCAGAAGAAAACCCTGTTTAGGGTTCCCCAAGTTCCTCCAAACATGATAAAGTATTTTGAGGTCGTCTTATTTTATCCCATAAAGTTAAATCAGGTTTCTGCCCATGCAAGCCCATGGTGTGTTCCAACATTGATAGACCCAAGTGCCTGAAGGATCATGATTACCCAGTGTCACAGAAGTGCTGTTCACATTGTGGACTGAAGTGCCTGGAACCTCAAAAATGAATAGGAAGTGGAAAATATTATCATCGATGTAATTAATTATGACTAGCATAATAAAAAGCTATTGATTTTATCTTCTATCCAACTACCTTCCCAAATTGTCTTATGAAGTATAACAATATTTAATGGGGTTGCTTTGATTTTATTTAAAATCATATCATCTGAAAATGAGAAATTTGATTCTTCTTTATTACAATTTCATGACTTACTTTATTTCCTTGTCTTTTTATATCATGTAGAGTATCTGAAATAATGTTGAAAACACCATCAACATTTTTCACAGAGCTGGAACAAACAATCCTAAACTTTGTATGGAACCCAAAAAGACCCTGAATCTCCAGAGGAATGTTCAAAAAGAAAACCAAAGCTCGGGGCATCACAATGCCTGACTTCAAACTATATTACAAAGCTGTGATCATCAAGACAGCATGGTACTGGCACAGAAACAGACATGTAGATCAATGGAACAGAATAGAGAGCCCAGAAATGGACCCTCAACTCTATGGTCAACTGATCTTTCACAAAGTAGGAGAGAATATGCAATGGAAAAAAGACAGTCTCTTCAATAAATGGTGCTGGGAAAATTGAACAGCCACATGCAGAAGAATGAAACTGGACAATTCTCTTTCACCATACTCAAAGATAAACTCAAAATGAATGAAAGACCTCAATGTGACACAGGAATCCATTAAAATCCTATAGGAGAACACGGGCAGCAACCTCTTCGACCTTGGACAAAGCAACTTCTTGCAAGACGCGTCTCTAAAGGCAAGGGAAACAAAAGCAAAAATGAACTATTGGGACTTCATCAAGATAAAAAGTTTTGCACAGCAAAGGAAGCGATCAACAAAACTAAAAGGCAACCTACAGAATGGGAGAAGGTATTTGCAAATGGCATATCAGATAAAGGGCTGGTATCCAAGATCTATAAAGAACTTATCAGACTCAACACCCAAAAAACAAATATCCAGTCAAGAAATGGGCAGAAGACATGAACAGACATTTTTTCAAAGAAGACATTCAAATGGCCAACAGACACATAAAAAAATGCTCCACATCACTTGTCATCAGGGAAATACAAACCAAAACCACAATGAGATACCACCTAACACCAGTCTGAATGTCTAAAATTAACAAGACAGGGAAGAACAAATGTTGGCGAGGATGTGGAGAAAGGGGAACCCTCTTACACTATTGGTGGGAATGCAAGCTGGTACAGCCACTCTGGAAAAGAGTACAGAAGTTACTCAGGACATTAAAAATAGAGCTACCCTATGACCCAGCAATTGTACTACTGGGTATTTACCCCAAAGATACAGACATAGGGAAAAGAAGGAGCACATGCACTCCAATGTTCATAGCAACAATGCCACAATAGCCAAACTGTGGTAGGAGCCAAGATGTCTTTCAGTGGATGAATGAATAAAGATGTGGTTCATATATGCAATGGAATATTACTCAGCCATCCGAAAGGATGAATATCCACCATTTACATCAATATGGATGGAACTGGAGGGTATTATGCTAAGTAAAATATGTCAGTCAGAGAAACACAATTATCATATGGTTTCACTCATATGTGAAATGTATGGAATAGTGCAGAGGACAATATGGGTTGGGGGGGAACTGAATGGGAAGAAATCAGAGAGGGAGACAAACCATACGAGACTCTGAACTCCAAGGAACAAAGTGAGATTAATGGATAGGGAGGTGGGTGGGGTGATGAGGTAACTAGGTGATGGGCATTAAAGAGGACACGTGATATGATGAGCACTGGGTGTTATACTGAACTAATGAATCATTGAACATTATATCAAAAACCAGTGATGTACTATACCATGGCTAATTGAATTTAAATTTTAAAAAAAGGGGAAAAAAGAAAAGAAATTAAAGAAAATAAAGGCAATGACATCTACCCTTGTTTGGCTCTTTCTTTAAGGAGGACACGTGTTGAGATAAGCACTGGGTGTTATATGAAACTAATGAATCATTGAACACTACATCAAAAACAACTGAGGTACTATACAGTGGCTAACTGAACATAATAAAAACATATGGAAAAACAAAAGCAAAAAAAATAAAGTCAGCATCTCTTGCTGTGTAAAAGGACATTTGTTGTTGGCTTTGGAATAAATAGATTTACTGCACTTAGTTGTTTTCTCTTTATCCATTTGCAACTGCTATTGGAAATTACTGTGGAACTTTATCAAATACCTTTTAAGCATCTAGTCATGCAATTATTTTTCTCTTCTAATTTGTTAGTATAAGAGCTTATATTATTAGGTCTTCATATGTTGAACCATCCTTGCATTCCTGGGTTGACCTTAATCATATAGCGGGTATACTTGAATTAATACACTAAA